GGTTACCGGGGCCGGCGGCTCCAGGGTGACTCACCCGGGCAGGAGGTGTGTGTGTGCCCAGGTGATACATCCCGCTTTGCGCGCCCGGGCTGACTGGCCGCAGCCTCCAGGGAGGATATTCACATAGCTTGTGCTTCCCAACACCAGGTACTTTCTTCATTTTACTGGGCTCGGGGTAGGTTTTTTTTGTCTTCAGCCTGTTGCTGGCTTCTCTTTTGTGTTTTGGTGGCGGTTAGGACGGGATAAACACCTAAGCGATTGCTTTGGAGTTTGTGATAGCAAAATGAAAAAAATAATACGGATGTTTCACGCGTCAGGTCACAGGATTTCGCACATCAGGTTCTGGAATTCCCCAAGACCTGGGATATAGATGCACATCACTGAAAACCCAGGAATCTGTGGCGTCAAGAAACTGCTGTATTCCTCTTTCTCTTCCTGAAGCGATCTTTGCGTCCCCGGAATATTGCTGAGCTTTCTGAAAGCCAAAAATACCCCCTGTTATTCACGTAACGAAGTTCAGCCAAGCAGCTTCTGCTTGAGCAGGCACAGCTCAGGAGGGATGCTGACGGAGTTCGATGCTCTGAATTCCTGATATGGAGCTTGGTGCTGTATCCAATTTAGCTTAGATCTGAGATCCTCAGTTACTTCCCTGGTGGATTCATTGCCCTGACAGGGAATGGAATTGAGAGGAGTGTAGCAACAGAGTCTAGCAAGTGCAGTTTTCATATAATTGTGATGAAAAAGGAGCCCTTGTGCTTGCTCTAGTGTGAAGTGATACTTTAACTGTCTCTTAATATTTGACTAAAAATGCCAAATAACATTTGTAATGATTTTGGTAAGATTTGCTATTTGAGAGAGCTTAAATAGGGTCCAGATGGACTTTTTTTTTAAAGTGGTTTTGCTTCTCTAAATAAAGTAGATCTGAAATACCAGAAGTAGACATCATGGGTTCTGGAGCAACGTCAACAAGTATTGTTGTACTATAAACAGCAGAGATCTCTGTCTTGGCAGCCGCTGGGACTAGCAATAGCTGTCGTGCGTTTGTGGCTGGTCCTGACAACTGACTAAAATCAGGCATTTGAGTCCTGTCTTGCTCCAAATAGTTCCTTACTTGATGAGCTGAACTGTTTAAAAAAAAAAAAAAATCTTTGGGTTTTTAGAAGATGTAAATGTTGGAAATCATCTGGTAGCTGATCCCCTGAGATATTCCAGTGTCAGCTCAGAAATAAACTGTGGAATGTTCTTAATTTAGTTGTCCCATCTTTGTTCCTTTTGCCTGTAGAAACAGGAAGTAGCTGATGCAAATTTCATGTTGCTGACAGCAGTTTGTCAGGCTTCGCAAAAGCTGAATCTGAACAGAGGCGTAGGTTTGACTTGCTTTGGCTATAAAACTAACATTTGTGTCTTCCAGAATGTCTAAGTGAGGGCTCAGGTTAGTGTGCTGTTTCAGGCAACCGGAAGAATCTCATTTATGCTGTTTTTTATGAGAACTTGCTCACTCCTGAGGACTAGCCTTTGGCTGGGACATACCAACTCCCTGATATTATCCAAACAGGAAACTCCTCTTACTGTGTTGTCGTACAGGATCAGCTTTGGGATAGCTAGTGGTTTTACAAATAAAATCCTTTCCCTTTACTGCTCTGATCAGTATATCAAAAGAGTCTAGTTGTAGATGAAAGCCTGTTTGCTGTATGGTGTGTTCAAAACCATGTTCCCAAGCGTTGATGGAAATAAAGGCTAGTTAATAGATTAACTGAATGTGCTATGAAAATGGATGGACTTTCTGGCCCAGGGTGAAATGCGCATTTGCTGCAAGTTCATGGCTTCCGCTCCACTGGTAATCAAAGTTCAATTGAATTTAAACAAGACCTAGATTTAATCCTGCATTATAGTCCCAAAAGGGAGAGCTTCAACTCCGCTTCTGTCAACCAGAGAACTCTAACCCTGGCTGCACAGCGTATCTCGAAAGCCTTTCTCATTCCTCCTGCGCACGGGACAATGCTCTGAACAAAAATGACTCTTCAATGATCTGTATGTCTCAGCTTCCTCTTTAAAGAGGGCAAATGAGATCTCATTTTATTACTGAGATCTGTGAAGTCAGTTTGTCACTTACCGACAGATTATTCTGCATTCAGAGCAATCAGTAGACAAAATGCTGTTTAGATGTAGCCCAAGCAGGTCTACTTTGTAATGTCTTTTTTTTCCTTTTTTTTTCTTTTTTTTTTTTTTTCTTTTTGCTAAACATTCATCTCTCTGGATTGCAGACTCTGGCTGCAATTAGTTAGGTTCTGGTCTGTACAACTAAATATTTTTATTTCATTCCAGATGAGTACATAGGTAGCAGAAAGAGCTTCATCCACAGGGCAAAGAGCATAGTAAGGGTGAGTCAAGACACCTTTAGCAAGGAGTGACTGAGATATAGCTGCCTGCTCTAGGACTTTGTGCTGCCTGCATTTAGTTCTGATTTTGCTGCCAATTTACCAAGTGACTTATCTTGCGACTTGTCCTAATGCTGCCCATTAAACAGAAATTAAAATGAGTTCACCATCTGGCATAGCGCTAGATTTGCAAAGCTGGTATTGAGTACTGTGAGTTTATGGCTTCTGTCACAAAAACCCAGGAAGGATGTGTCAAATGGCAAGGAGACTGGCAGGGACCTGAATCTCAAGGAACACTTTCTTGTTAAAGGACATTAATCCCAACCACATATCTAGAACTGGTGCGATATGCTCCTCACAACAGCATGTTTTATTGCTGGGGGTCGGAAGCAGCTTTCCATCTGGACTTTCTGGTTTGTAATCCCGATTTGAAATGCAGTTTGCAACTCGGTAATGGGGCTGATCAGATTAGAGCTTCGTGTGGAATGTGGCGGGGATCAGTGGTGCAGAACAGCAGCTTTGTCTGCTCAGTGCTCAGTAAACCTGGTGTCCTTCCTGAAACCCTTGCGTTACACCCCTCTATCTCACCGCACTCTCAAAGCATGGGAGAATTTCCTTAACAGGTGGCTTTTTTGGGGGGGAAGAATAACCACTTCTGTGAGTGTGCTGAGAGCGGGGGAGGCAGAGCCCTGCTCTTGGCTGCGCTCCCACTTGAAGACGTGAGCCCCATTCTGGATGCATCGTCCTTGGCCGCGGCAGAGCGCTGACGATCCTGTGGTCAGGATTTCTGCATTGTACGGAATAAAAAAAAATAACAAAAAAAGAGGCATTCATTACTGTTGATTATATGGGTGACTGCCCACAAGTTTCAGCCTCTCTGAACTTTTTTGTATCTGGAAGCCATCCAGTTCCTGCTGTCCAGTTTTATGGACAGTGTCTCCTCCTGCTCACTCTTGCACAGAGGAGGAAACCTCTCTCTTCCTTTTGGAAGGGGGGTGGCCTCTCCCCCACCCCCACATCGGTGCTGCTTCTCCTGACGCAAGCAGGCGAAAGAAGGATGGAAAAACGGCCTTGTTTGTCTTGTGACATCAGTGCCACTCGTGGCTAACACTGGATCTACCCCACATCCTCTGGAAATTGGGTGAAAACATGCGCTTTGGAGCAGGGCTGAGAAGGCTGGTGAGCAAAAGCAAAACCCTAGTTAGAACTTAGAGTTTCGTTTCTGAGGGAGATCTAGCATTGGTTTGTTGAGGCACCTGGGTAAACCCTGTCTTCCTTTTGCGTGTGCTGGGAAGGACCTTCTCCTTCAGGCAGGGTTTTGAGCTCTTGCAGGCTGTTGTGATAAGAAGGGAGCTGTGTCCAGCCCATAATAGTGATTCACATAGGAAAATCTTTCAGTGAGCGATGATAAGACAAAAATGCAATTGGTGACTTGCTACTCCCTCCCTGCATTCCCTGTGCATTAGTGTGCTCGGAGTGTGACTTGTCTTGCTCCTTGGTGCTGAGTCTCTGCAAAGCAGTAATTAATGAGAAGTTTATAAGACACTTAAGACTTTTCCAGATGAGACGCTTCAAATGACTTATGTGCCTAAATTGCCTTCCTGTGTGGTACTTGCAGAGTAGATTCCGCAGTTTGGATACCGGAGCCTGTAGAGGGAGAGGATGAACAGGGGCACATTGTTGTAGAAGCAGCTCTGCTGCCTTGGCTTGTGCAGCTGCTCGCCTTTAGTGTGTGCCAGGGTGGCTTGTTTTGCACTCCGATGCTATGTACTGTAGCAATGCTGGAGTTATAGATGTTCCTTGGAGGAATTCAAGACTCTGGGAGGTCCCCACAGATGCATTTGTAGAACCACAAGTTCTAACCTGGAGTGCGTGAATTCCCAGCGAAGCAGTCGTACTTGATTTGCTGTATGGTCACAACTGGGACTTTGGCCAAGAGCTGACTGCACTGAGATTCTGTGCAGACCTTTGTTTTACCGAATGGTGTTAATATAAGGTCAGAAGATGTAAGTTTTAGCGTCCTTATACATGTAAGGCAATAGAAAGTGGCTGTGTGCGTGGTTGTGTAATCCAAACGTCTCTGCTTATCTGAGGGTACCCTGCTGCCCATCATCAGGGTGCGGAGAGAGGTAGAAATTACTGTTCTGGAACTGGTATAGCTTGTACCAGATGGCTGATAAACTCTCTTCAGTGTTGGGCCTACAAGTTTCATGCTGTCAGAGGATGTGAATAATTGTATTCTGTCTGTGCAGGTTGTGGACAGCGGTAGATATGGAAAGACTAGTTGAACGGTTAGAGAAGGCTGTGGAGCGTCTGGAGACAGTGTGCCAAGGACCTGGCATGTGTGGAGATGGCTCTTCCAAAGGTAAGGCCCAAAGCACCTCCCCAGCAGCATCGCTGCATGGGACTCCCTGTGCTGAAGCATCAGTGTCGGACATCAGCAGTAGCTGTTGCAGACCGGGCGGCCCTCATGCAGGGCATGCAGAGGGCTGTTAGGTGAACTGCCTGTGCGCAGAGGGGAAATGAGTTTCGCAGCAGATACTGCGCAGATGCAGAGAAGCCTGTGGTTACCATCCTGCTAAGATAACGACTTCCTGTGGCTGCAGTGCTTCCCTCATCTGCGTTCAGCTGCGTGCTCTGGGCTGAGCCTCCTGCGTTCCGTCAGTGTGACCTGGGGGAAGGCTGAGCGTGGAGCAGGTGGGAGGTGCGGCCCAGGAGCGCAGTGCGTGTGCGTGGGTGCTCCTGGCCCAGAAGCCCACCTGGTGCCTCTCGGTGATACCTGTGCTCTGGTTCCTTCTCCACAGGAGTGGCTCAGTACGTGCAGGCTTTCGATGCCCTTCTGGCTGGCCCAGTAGCTGAGTACATCAAGATCAGCAAAGAAGTTGGTGGGGATGTGCAGAAGCATGTAAGGACTCACGTTCTCCCTCCAATCTAAATAGATGCTGCTTGTTCTTCAGGGCTGTTAAGGGCCAAGTTTGCTGTCAGTGTTTGCATTCCTTTAGTGCTGTACTCTAGGATGTTTATAATCCTCAAGAATTCAAAACAAATGCAGATGCCCAGATAATCTCCATCAGATTGGCACCTGCACCCGCTGTGAATCACACCTCTTTCTTGAAATCTTCATTAGTTAGGTGCCTAGCTCTCTTTATGGACTTTGGCGCGTGCCTTTCAGGGGGCCTGTAAAATACACAGCCCGAGAACTGTTACGCTCTTGCAAGTTTTGTCTGAGGGTGGGTGTCTCCAAGAATATGTGCTTTGAGATCAGCATAGCTGCTTTCTTACAGACTAAGAACTGCGAGTGGTGGGAGCTGGAATGCCTGTTAGCGTTATGCTGGGTGCAAGGGACGCGCTCTCATGTTTCTTTCTATTCTTAGGCTGAGATGGTTCATGCGGGCTTGATGAGCGAGAGGGCTCTTCTGGTGATGGCGTCTCAACATCAGCAGCCAACAGAGGTAAGTCTGCAAAATCATTCATCAGAAACCTTGTGTGCTCCTACCTCAGAGTCAGGGATGACTGATGCTGTAGGGGAATCTGGGCCGTTACAGTTGCTCCAAAAGAGGAACCAGAGGAGGACGGGAGGCACTTGCATCCATGAGGTAGCACTTGCTGAAAGCATGAACTCTTCTGGTTGCTCACCTGACACTGGGTAGAATTCCGGAGGTTGATTCTTAGAGCTGCAGAACTGGCATTTTCCAGTCATTACAGCAACAAGTTTTGTGTAGGTGTCAGAGCAGCTTGTGAGTGTCATCTCGCAGCGTCTGTTTCGAGTTTCACCTGGCACCAGTGCTGCACAATCACTGTTCCCTCAGAGGCAACCTACAGACAGGAACTTGTCTGAGACAGGAGCCACAGTGGGGTTTGCATTGAGCGTGCTTTTTATTATGTGATGCTTATAGACTTTCAGGCATTAAACTCCTTCTGAAGTATAACAGACACTTGTTTCTGTTGAACAGTCTCTGAATAATAGCTAGGCTTTTAGGATTGATTTGTCCTTAGCAAGTAATTTAACACTTTAGCCTAGGCTGCTGCTTCTCAGCAGGATGTGTGACTGAAAATCTCATCCTGAACGTATTGGCTTTTCCCTGCTGAGAACTGTTTTCCTGAGCAACAGGATCCCACCTTGCTTCTCTTTGCAGTTATTATCTGCCTCAGTCATGGCTTCTACTGTTACACTATGGTAGCTGGATTTCTGTGCTACTTTCCTATTCACTGCAAAATATATCTGCATCTTTTTTTCCCCAAGCTCCGCATTGAAGGGTTATTTAACTTTCGCCAGGCTTGCTGGGATGCTGCTCTGCGTAGCCTCTAACCTGAGAATCTGCTTACAAATTCCACTGACACGTTATTTAAATGAAGGAATATGAACAAACAGCAACCTTAATCTAATGTAGGTCTTTGTGCAGGTTGTCTTGGAGAAGTCTAGTCAGTTCTGGAGTAGCCAGTTTAAAATGCAAAATGTACGAACTCTCATTGTCTGTGGCGAAGAATTTCCCCATCCTGTTACTTGACAGTGGCACTGGGCTGGAGCTTCTGTAAGTGTAGCTTGGCACCTCTGTTTTCACCTAAACAGAGGAAGAGACAGCAAATGGAAAAGCCGAGGCTTTGAAAAGCAAGTTTTGCCCAAATTTGTCCCTCACTGCTGCCACCAGCAGGAGACTTTCTGATCTTAGAGGAAAGAAAAGTTGCCCAAGAGGCATCTCTGGAACTGTTTAATTGGCTGCTCTGACCTCAGAAGACTTCTAAGCGCTTTCAGTCAGCATTCCAAGTGAACAACACACAGAAACAGTTTTTATCATCCAAATACTAAAAGCTTGGGTTGACTTGAGAAGTAACTTGAATCCTGAAATCCAGCTTGATAGGGTGGTTTGAGAACTTGCTGGGACTCTGATTGTAATGCAGGCTGTAGATCCCAAACTGCAAAAACCTGCAGAGCACCCCCTTTCTCTGAGGGTTTATAAAGGAGAGGAAAAATTTGACAAACTGTCTTGGAACAAAAGAAGCCAGGAAAGGCAAATGCTATTTCTGTCCTCAGAACTAATAAGCTTTGTCAGTGTCTCTTAGATTGAACATGAGTCACAGTTCTTGGCGTACTCTCATAGTACCAATCCGTTTGGGAGCTATGACTTCAGCCCTGGAGGAGCTAGGGTGTGGGACCAAGCTCGGCTCATGGAGAGGGCCAGGCCTGGACAGGAGGTGTAGCAGTAACTTGTGCCAGTTGGAATCTTCCTCCAAGTGACCATCATCTCAGCAGAGCTGCCTGTGAAGATGTACAGCCATTCCAGAGCAATACTAATGTATTTAACTGTTATCATCCCTCTCGTCCTGCAGAATGCATTTTCATCACTTCTGAAACCGATTTCAGAGCAAATCCAGGTGGTGCAGAATTTCAGGGAGAAGAACCGTGGTAGCAAACTGTTCAATCACTTATCAGCAGTCAGCGAGAGCATCCCAGCCCTGGGCTGGGTGGCCATGGTAAGAACTCCATGGGAAGTGGTTTTCTTGGGCTGGTGGGAAAAGTCTGGCTCCCTGGTCAGCTGCTCCATGACAATCTGTTCTTTCTTCTTTAGGCTCCAAAGCCTGGTCCTTATGTGAAGGAAATGACTGATGCTGCCATGTTTTATACCAACCGGATCCTCAAGGAGTACAAGGATGTGTAAGTTCGCCTTCTCTCTTAAAGATGTCATTGAACACAGCTAACTGGGCTACTCCAGTATCTAACCACAGCTGCCTTGGTTTGTAATTCAGTCTTCTCTTTAAAGACAGTTATATTTCTAAAGCCTTACTTAGCTATTCTTTCCTGATCCATAGGAACAAGATTCCTTGCATTCATGTTGCATCTGGGATCTCTGGTAGGAAGTGGCTGAACCATTTCCCAAGGCAGCAACTTGTGTCTCAGGAATGGGTCTTGTTGGAAGTACCAGCTCACCAATTAAAATGGGTGACAGTGCAGAGCAGGCCTGTGGCCTTCTGGCTGTGGGGGCAAGGTTAATACTAAAGCTAGAATGCAGTGCTGGAGGTGCAAGGTTGCTGTGCTGGTCCAGCCATGTTTTACCTGTAGACTGAGAGGTGGAGATATGTAAAGAACTGTTTGTGGTCCTTGGGTTTTAACGGCAAATGCACCTGCTCACTCCTCGTGATCTTGTGTCCTCAGAGATAAAAAGCAGGTGGACTGGGTGAAAGCTTATCTGAGTATCTGGACAGAGCTGCAGGCCTACATCAAAGAGTATCACACCACAGGGCTGACTTGGAGCAAAACAGTAAGTACTGGCCACGTCTGCAGGAGCTTCTTAGATGAGTATTGCATGATTATTGCAGCAGATAATGGAGCTTGTGCAATTGCCTTTCCTCTTGCTGGCCTCTTACAGGGTCCTGTAGCAACAGAAGGGGCTAAATCACCATCCGCTCCCCCAGCCGGGGCTGCGCCTCCCCCACCAGGCCCTCCTCCCCCACCTGCTCCTGCCCCCACGAGCTCCAGCACAGATGACTCTGCCTCCCGCTCTGCGCTCTTCGCCCAGATCAATCGGGGAGAAGGCATCACCTCTGGTAGGTGGAAGCAGCGAGCAGAAGGAGGGCAGCCACGAGCGAGAGCACTGTTGTGCTGCAAATCCTTGTTTTGCTGCTGTCCCTTCAATACGCCTGCTTAGAAACGATGCTTGCAGTAACAAAAGACCATCTGCTCTGAGGATGAGGCTGGGAGCCAGGAGCAGCCCTGAGGCAGTTGACGGGGACAAAGGGAGCACATCTGAGTTAACATTCTCAGCCTCATCTGCCAGGTGTAGCAAGAGATTAATCTCTAGCTGGAACAGGGCGAGCGAGCCCTTGGTTGCCTGCACAGCTCGAGAACAAAAGGTGCAATTTTGCACCTGTTTGCACAAAATGTATCCCTTTTGTGTGTTACCTGGTTAGCGTATCGGGACAGATGTGAAACAAAGGCGAGGTGCTTGGCTCGGGGCTTTTTCCAGCTGCGGAGTGGAAGAGCTGGTGCCTTCTGGTTCTACAGTACATCTTGTGTTCTCATCAGTATTGCATCAATGTGTCTTGCTCCCTCTTTCACTTGCTGTTGCTCACCTTCACTTAGGCTCAGCTTAGGCCCAGTCTCAACAATCCATTTGCATTTTGAAAAATGTTGTCATGCTGATTGTTGTAATCACTGACGTCTAGTGTTTGTGAAACTGCGTTCTTGGAGGAGAGCTGGATCTCAGGTTTGACTTCTTTTGCAGGCTTAAGACATGTTTCAGATGACATGAAGACCCACAAGAATCCAGCACTGAAGAACCAAGGCGGTCCTGTGAGAAGTGGACCCAAACCTTTCACTGCTCCCAAACCAGCCTGTAATGCTAATCCCTCCCAAAAAACTTCTCCAAAGGCGCCTGCATTGCTAGAATTAGAGGGCAAAAAGTGGAGAGTGGTGAGTGTCTGGCGTCACTGTGAGTGCGTTGGAGGGGTGGAAGCTTTGTGGCAGGGAAGGAGTGTGTCCTGCAGATCTTTCTTGTAAGAGGTACCGGCCTGAAAGTACATGCAGTTTGTTTTTAAAGGGGCTGCACTGCTGTTCATGTGGATTCGTTGGTCTGTATTCCAAAAATAAAGTGTGTTTTCCCTGCCTTTTCAGGAAAACCAGGAGAATGCCACTAACCTGGTCATTAGTGACACAGAGTTGAAGCAGGTAGCATATGTTTTCAAGTGCACAAATAGTACGCTCCAAATCAAAGGCAAGATCAACTCCATCACCCTCGGTAAGTGGAGAAACCCTGAAAACAGCTTCTGCGTGCTGGTCTGTTTGCAGAAGGCTGAATCTCCAAAACCTTTCTGTGACCTACTCTGTCTTTTCTTTGCAGATAACTGTAAGAAGCTAGGTCTGGTGTTCGATGATGTGGTGGGCATCGTAGAGATCATAAACAGCAGGGACATTAAAGTTCAGGTGAGTGTCTGCGACCTGTTCTCCTTCTGGAGTATGAGTGTGCACTGTACAACAGGGTGTCTGTAACATCTGCTCCTTTGAGTAGTTTTATTTTCAGAACAGGAATGTGCATCCGTGGAGAACATTCATGAAACACCGTATGTACTACTGCTCTGCAGCTCACCCTGCCCAGCCCTTGGGAAAGGGCTGAAATTTGCCTCACTGAGCTGTGTCAGGGCTCTAGATAAAAGATTAGTCTTTGAGGCGTGCAGCATGATATGACTGCCAAAGTAGGAGACCAGCAGTAGAATCTACTCTGATTTCAGTTTTTGGATCTGATCTAGGATGGTCGATTTGCCCAGCGTTTGCTGTAGTTTTGTTCTAAAGAGATCAAAACGAGAAAGAGCCTCAGGCTTTTGCCAAAGATGAGAGTACTTGAATCAGTGTTTCTGCGGCAGGGGGTTTTGGAGTCAAACCTTGCCTTGAAGGCAAATGCAAAAGAAAAATGTTGTGGCTGCCCAGTTCAAGCTAATGCTCCTCTAACAGCTGCCTTGACAACCCTGCTAGGTAATGGGTAAAGTGCCAACGATTTCCATCAACAAGACAGACGGTTGCCACGTGTATCTGAGCAAGAACTCCCTAGACTGTGAAATCGTCAGTGCCAAGTCATCGGAGATGAACGTCCTTATTCCCACAGAGGGTGGTGACTTTGTGAGTGTCGAGTTTTGAAATCGGTGTGGTCTGCTTGGGGTTGGGGTAATGCAGGGCAGGACTAATTTTTGAGCCGTGCAGGGAATGGCACAGTTACAGTGAGGTCTGGAGGGACAATTCCAGACTCTAGATTTGGAGGTTGTGAATGATGATCAGATGCTAAAACCAGCAAATCAAGTTCTTTGTCTTTACGGTGAGATACTTGCTGTTTTGTGAGAGTTTCTTCTTCCTCAGGATCTCTGGCAGGCAGAGCAGACAGTGTTTGTAGTACAAGAGCGGACATAGCACGTATATGAGAAAAGAAGTGCCTGAAGCAGTGGGAGTAGTTACTAGTCTCAGCCATAAACTGATTTTTGACAACACATTTCTATTTTTATCCTCCAGACTGAATTCCCTGTCCCAGAACAGTTCAAGACAGTGTGGAACGGTCAGAAGTTGGTTACCACTGTGACAGAAATTGCTGGCTAAGCAGAAAAGCTCCAAGGCTCACGCCCTCCCCTGGCCCTGCTGTGGGACAAATCTGCTTTCAGATGATTCTCTTAGATTTCTTGTACCTTTCTGCTCTCAAACTGCTTCTCTTCTACCCAGGAGACACAGCTACCTGCCACCACTGAAATACCTCTGGCTGGGGTTTGGTGTAGGTGGCAGGTCAGTTATTGTCCACATCTATTAGCAGGAAGGTGGGTTTTTTTTCTCCCCTTGTCTGATCTAACTGCACCAATTGATCAAGTCAGATTTTTGGTGAACTTCACAGCCAGTACTGGCAGTTGGCTTTGAGTGTTGTTCAGGTTTTGTTGGGGTTTTTTTGGGTTTTTTTGTATTGCCTTTAAGCAAACTGTTCATGTGAGAGAGGAATGTTGTCCCCTTTTTAACAAATAATGGTTTATGTTGGGATCCCAAGTACCCAGTTGCTATGGCAAATGTCTCAAGAAGGTCCTGGAAGCTGCTAATTCCAGCTCTGTGTACTATTTGGTGGCATTACAGGATGTGGGAATGGTTTTATCAGACCAAAGGCTGGGGACCTGGGCCATAGCATTCCACCCTGCTTTCTCTTTCATCATTCCTACTAGCTCAGTGTATTTCTGATTGTGCCATGACAGGAGGCTTTCTATTAACCAGTGCCACAGGAAGACTGCAGTGGGGTAACTGTGGTTACAGCAGTCTGGCTGGTAGCTTGGAGCTGAGCACCTCTTATTCCATGAGCTCTCCACTCTCGCAAGGGAATCTTTGCCCCAGGGCTTCCTTCTTGGAGCAGCTGAACTCAGGTTCAGTCTTCCAGGACGGTTCTTCTGAACCCGTCCCCTTCTGCAGAGGAAGGATCTCCTTCATTCCAGGGTCAGTAGTGCAGTAAATACCCATGTTGGATCAAGTTGGTTCATCACTCTCTTCCTCATCTTCAGTCAGTCCCCATAAAGTGAATCCTCTCAACCTCCCCTTTCCCCTTTGCTTGGCTCTTTCTTTGGTGGAAGCTTGCAGCCTCTGTTCCAGGGCCCTGGAGCAGAGTGGTGGATCTAAGACACAGTACTGTACTGACCCATAAAGGGAGCTGCACATGCTTTGACCTTCATTTTTCCAACACCTTGGGTGGCATAAGCATATCTTAAATGCATTTTCTCTGTAAAGTGTCAATGTTCTTTTTCTCTAGGACAAAACTTGCAAAAAAATATGCAATTTTTTTATTTTGAGACTGTCCTGTGACTTGTACTCGTCATACATACCTTTCTTATGTACTTAAGATTATACAGAAGATAGAATAAAGTTAATGCCAACTTGCTCATTACAGTGGTTCTTGTCTACTCTTTGGGGGCACACAGGACCTCAGGCAGGACAAGATGCCCCTTGCTGCCTGACTGCTGAACATCCCTCAACTCGTCAGTAGTGGTCAAATCTCACCTTTTATTTATTTTTTTTTTTTAGTTAGATAGACGTAAAGATCTTTATTGATTTCAGTTGCTGTACAAAAGTGCATAAAACAAGCCATTAGTTGAAAACTGTTCAAGCTGTTAATACCCACTTAATTCAAAACCCTCCCTTGTCCCCAGAAACCCCTAAATTTGGCCCTTTTCCCCCTCTTGAAGGAGAGGCTGTCATCTTTCCCCCGCATGCAGCCATGTATGTCTATTTGCTGATCCCCTTAAGAGATGCAGCATTCTTGCACTAGTGATTTCAGTTAATACTGCCATTGCATCCTGCGAGGAACAGGAAAACAAATCTCTTGCACAGCTAATTTTTCTGTCATCACCAAGTGACTGGCGCAGCTCCAAGCACTGAAGCAGACTTACCAGGGCCTGCACAGAATGGATGGAGCACTTCACAGTTAGTGCAAGGCTCAGTCCACCCGTATTGGAGTGTAATGACATCCAGCCAATTCCCCGTCTTTTACTGCAGTGTAACAGTTCCTACCTCTGCACGTTGTGGAACTGCTGAGCTGAACCCCCTCTTCCACTTCCCCAGATCCCCGCAGGCTTTTGTACCCAGAAAGTGCTGTTGCACAGTAGCTGTTGCATTAACTACAGTGGTAGACCCTCCCCAGTGCTCCAAGTACCTCCCCTTGGCTTCACTGGAGGAAGGGGAGGATAGTGGTGTAAAACCACTCTTCTGAGAAGTGCAGGTGATCCCCTTCCACCCCCAGGAACACCAGTTTTCCTGCTTTGTCCATCTCCTGCAGCCCCAGGCGATCCTGCAGAGAGAAAAGCATGACCATAGCTTCCTGAGGCCCGGCCATGGCCAAACGCTGGCAGTGGCTGGGGAACTGGGCACAGAGAAAAGCACTGACTGATGGTCAGAGACCGTTGTTGCAGCAGAAGTGGCTGGCAGGCTAGAGTGGGTGCACCTCTGCTCTTCAAAGCTTCTCACAGAGAGGAAAAAGGCATTTTAGATGTGTCCTGGTTTCGGCTGGGCTAGGATAGAGTTAGTTTTCTTCCTAGTAGCTGGTAGAGCTGTGTTTAGCTGCCTGTGTTGCAACAAGGCTTTGAAAAGGAGCAGAGTTCCTTAAACAGATGCTGAAGGGAATCATGAGCCAGCCATGAGACCACCACTGTAATTCCCACTGCCAGAACGGGCCTGGAGAGAAATGCCTTCCCAAACAGCTACTGGCAAGAGGAGGCTGTGCCCCAGGAATGGCAGAAATGGTGAGTAGTGCAGAGCTGTAGGGTTTGGAGTGCCTCAAGGCCCCAGGGACACTATAGAGTAGAAATAGAAACCCCTCAGCTCCCAGCAGAACGTACCTCTGTGTACAGCAAGGTCTCCTGCAGCGGGATGGTCTCCTGGGCTTGGCCACTTTTGTAAAACCCAAACCACTGTCAGAATAAAAACAAGGGAACGGTTGCTGAAGGGCTTCCAGGAGATAAGCAGCCTTTCACCAGCTCCTGCTGGAGATGTGCTGCTGCAGACAACGCAGTATCAGGTCTGTGTTTGTGCTCAGCCTGATCCTCACCACCAAAGGACAAACGAGGAACAAGCAAGAACCAAACCAGCAGCACCTGCCCTGCCTGCCTCACCTCAGAGATCGGAGGGTCGACCATGGTATCATTGAGAAATTTCACCATCACGAACTTTTTCAGCGCCATCAGATTTTTCTTGTATGTCTCGTTGATGCCCTGGATGAAAGAAACAGAGAAAAGCTCCAAGTCACTGGGAAGCCCACTGAGACAGGTCAGGGAAACTGCCTGTTTCAACTTGCCCTGCACCTGCAAAGGAAACCCTGGACTGCACCAGCCTGGGAGGCAGGAATGTGCATTTCTGTCACCAGTCTCCCTCATGGCACCCACCCCCATCTCCAGGCTGTAATGATGGGATGGGCCTTCCCAGGGGAGGGAGAGGATTTGCCCACTTGAATGGTGATGGGTGGACTTGGCACATGGCACATCTACACTAACCACTCCAGAAGAGTGCAGTGACACGGGGACTGCTCTGCCACTGACAAGTCTCATTCATAGACCTACCAGTGATGGGATGCAGGACAAAAGGTGTTCCCCTTCAAACTCCAGCAAAACTACTGCCAGGGAGAGCTAATGTGAAGGAACTTACTGCTAAGATTTGTGCTCCCCTGCTAGCATTCAATCATCAACCAGGTCCTTACCCTCTCCTGGTTTATGTCAGCCAAAAAGATGCTGTTTTTCCTGTAGTCCTCCTCCTTCAGGGGGTTGTGCCAATACTCTGCTTGTACCAAGCTGGAGAAGAGAGAAACCAAAGATCGGATCGGAAACCCAGAGCTTCTCACATGGGCCCAGCCCCCGTTGTTCCAGCCCTGATGAATATACTCACTGCTCTTGAACAGCTTGTGTGTAGGCGCCCAGATCCAGCGTCTTTCGGATCCAGTCACAGATATGGGAGCTCTCACCAGGACAGCGTGGAAAGCCGTACACGCCTAGGGTATGGAGACATGTGTAACAACTCAGTGAGCCAAACTCAGATCCCTTAATCCCTCTGGCTGGTAAAGAACCACCCTCTTACAGAGCAGTGGCAAGAATTACCTGGGGAATCAGGCAGCCTTTAATCCTGCAATCTCATTAGACAGCCCTCCTGCCCCTGGGCACTATTACACACAAAGATAATGGATTATGTTCTCGAGCTAAGGGTATTTCTGGAGAATGGGGGCATGCAGACAAGCAGAACACTGTCCAGCTCGCCTGGTGTGTTCCCAAGAGGTCTCAGGATGGTTCCCAACAAGCTTTCCCACTACACTACAAAGAAATAGACTCAGGCCGTGGAAATTCTCAGGGGAGAGTATTTGAAATTCATTGCCAGCCACTCTTAACTCTACACCTCTTCAATTCCATTTCATGCTGCCTCTTTAATCTACTGCAGAAAGCACCTCCCTTTCCTTGGAGCTTTATAGCCTTCCAGATGCTGATTGTAAAATATCCCTGTGACCCAGAACGTGTAGTTTCACAAAGGCTTTGCTCTGTAGTTAGAAATTTCTTCTCCCAAAACACCTAATCCCAAATGCTTCCAAAGCATAGAAGAATTCTACCCGGACAGTAAGTCATCTACTTATAAAGGTCTCTTCTCATTGCCAGTTAAGCAAGACCAAGACAGAAGATAATGTAGTCAGCTAACCACTAGGCCAAAGCAGATCACCAGATTCAGACAAAACAAAGGGACTTCATGAGAAAATGGTCAGATTTTAGAAAGAGGAAAAAAAACCCCAAACCAACCATTCCTCCTGCCAACAAAAGCCCCCCACCCTTCAAGGAGGTGAGGTAGCTTAAGAGGATACTACCTTGGTGCTGTCCCCCAACAGAGATCAAATTGAGCATGGGAGGAGAAGGACACCTCTGGGCCACCGCCCTCCTGTGGAGAAAGATGAAGGAGCTGAGCTGGCACTCCATGCCCAGACCACCAGTGCTGGTTCACATGCAGCTCTCGGCTTGGGTAACAACCCTTCCTGGTAGATGAGGGGTACAGGCAAACACATTATTGCCTCCTTTGGAGTGCTCCTACCTTTATGAAGGGGTTTGTCAGTTTACATCCACTTAGTACTTCAAGAGAGTTTTAAATCAGAACCTAAACCCAACAGAAATCACTGGAAATGGAACAGAAGTGTAAACTTACAGGAACTGGCCTCCCTGAGAGAAGCCCATTGCGTTGTAGCCTCCTTTCAGGTGAGGGTCCTTGGCAAGTTGGCTGCACACCTCTCTCACTTGATCGTTCACGTTCATAAAGAAGCTGTTCTCCATATCCTGATGGATTAGGCAGATTAGAACGTATAACTTGTACCTTTACAATGGCTTATATTATTTTAGTCTCTGGAAATAGATCGCTAACAGTTCTGCTTTTGAAAGAGGACCTTAACTTTCACAATATGACAGAAATTAAATTCAAGTTTTGAGACTTCGCTTCACCACGGCTTTGTTCCTACTCTGCCGGACAAAACTGTCTCATATAGAACAGTGACATTTCCCCAAACTTCTTGACAATCTGAGTCCCTTCAGATTTTGTGTGTGTGTGTGTGTATATATATACAAAAAACATTAAAAAATTAAAAATCAAAATTCACCCATCTTCTCCTGATCTGAAAATAACAGACATTGCCCATTATCCTGAGAGACTATTTAAAGAAATTCTGTAGGGCCACATAAAACTGCCAAAACCACAAGGGCACAGAAGAAGTCAGTATCTTTATTATAGTAAAGATGTATAGGGAATAAATGGTTGTAAATAAAAAAGGATGGCAAGGGATAAAGCTCTGCTTTAGCACAGTATCTTATCACGTGCCTTTGTATTACCTAGAGTGGTTAGAGTGCTAATCACTGGATTTGCATATTAATCCAATTTAGATTAGGGATTTGGGTTTCCCCAGTTCTTTTCTGCAGGTATTATCTAGATTTTATTGGTTTCTACCTGTCAAAGACATTTATTTCACAAAGAAGAAAAAACTAGCAGGGAAAGCACAACACGAGTCCTTGTGGAATCCTGTTACTAACAGAGACTGCAGTAACTACCACACCTTCAGCTCTGCATGCTGCCACCACCCTGCTAAGCAGAAACGTGAGTGACAGCAGTTAGTTACCTGTATCAGGTTGCTTCCAATCTTGAGAGACAGAACATAAATCCCTGGTATCTTATTCTCCACTATTTTTTTAATGTAGCCCATGCTTTGTGGATTGCAGCAACTGTCTCCTGTGAAAGACAACACCAAGACACACCGTCATGCCACCACCCAGGCCCTCACCTCGCCTCCACAAACATACCGGGCACCCCCTCTGCTGCAACGGGGCCAGCAGCTGACGCACACCCGAGCCCGGGGGAGGAGGGCCAGCACCTCCCAGCCTCTGCTGAAACCCGCGGTCTGGAGGAGGAGGAGGACACTGGTGCGGGTACCGGGGGCGGCCTGGGAGCACCTTTCAGGCCTGCTCGGGTCCCGGCACGGCCTCGTCTGCGGGCCGGACCAGCTAAG